GTTTAATTGACAAACAAAAATTGTATATATTTGCCTGGCTGGCGAGGCTCAGTGGTTGAGCATCGACCAATGAACCAGGAGGTCATGGTTCAATTCCCGGTCAGAAAACAGGCCCAGGTTTGGGGCTCCATCCCCAGTGTGAAGTGTGCAAGAGGCAACCGATCAGTGATTCTCTCTCATCGTTGTTTCTACTCTCTCTCCCTCTCCCTTCCTCTTTGAAAGCAATTTTAAAAATCCAAGGTGTAGCCCTCACTGTTTTGGCTTAGCGGATATTGCATCGGCCTGTGGACTGAAGGGTCCCAAGTTCTATTCCGATCAAGGGCACATGCCCGGGTTGTGGGCTCAATCCCCAGTAGAGGGGCATGCAGGAGGCAGCCAATCCATGATTCTCTCGCATCATTCGTGTTTCTATCTCTCTCTCCCTCTCTCTCTGAAATCAATAGAAACAGAAATGTTTTTAAAAAATTTAAGGTGTACATTATGTTTTAATATGTGTATACATTGTGAAATGACCACAGTCAAGCTAATTAACAAATCCATCACCTTACCTAGTTACCTTTTTTCTGTGTGTGTGGTGGGAACACTTATGATTTACTCCCTTAGCAAACTTCAAGTACACAGTACAGAATTAACTAGTCACCATGCTGTACATTAGATTTCCAGAATTTATTCTCTGACATAACCGAACCTTTGTACCCTTTTACCAAACACAACCTAAATGCTGACTGATGAATGGATACAGAAAATGTGGTGTATATATACACACACAATAGAATATTAGTCTTAAAAAAGAAGGAACTTCTGCCATTTGCGACAACACAGATGAACTTGGAGGATGTAATGCTAAATGAAATAAGCCACACACAAAAGACAAATACTGCGTGATCTCACTTGTATGTTGAATCTATTTAACTGGTAGAGGCAGGGAGAAGAACAGTGGCTGCCAGGGGTTGGGGGTGGGGCAATGTGTGCTGTCCTTTAACTTGTTGCTTTTACGTTAGCCGCAGCTGGTTGGAATGGGAACACTGCCTTGTAATTTGCAGCGAGTGGTCAAATGCCACTTGTCCATTATATGCCAGTCATGACCTTTCTCTGGGGTACAGTCTCATTCTTATGGGCTGAATGGTGTCCCCCTAAAATACATATCAGAATCTCAGAATGTAAGCGCATTGGAGGATAAGGTCTTTAAAGGATGGTAATTACATGAAGTCTTTAGAGTGGGTTCCAATTCTTATCACCGGTGTTCTTATAAAAGGAAATTTGGATAGAGACATGTGACTGACGGAGGTCAAATACAGCTTTGGGGTAAAACCATGTGTTCTGCATTGGAGTCGGACTCTGGTTTCCATTTTGCATTAGTCATTAACTCTCTGTTCTAGTATTTTCCATCTTAAAACCAACCAACTCACCCCAACTCACCCCATTTCAACATCTCCCCTGGCTGCTCCTTCCTGTTTCTATCCTTTTACAGGAAGGGTCAAAGGTTGTCTGTAGTCACTCCTGCTGCGCTGACTCTGCCGCCACCTGTGCTCCCTCCCCTCTGCTAGGACAGCTCTCCCCACGCTCCGCATGGTCCTGCGGCCTGTCCCTGCGTCCCTTGTGGCTTCTTCGTCCTTATCTTTTTCGATGTCTCAGCACCTGCAGCTCACTTTACTCCCTTTAACTCGGAATGATTTCTTCTCTTGGCTTCCCCTACAGACATCGCCCCTTCTGGATCTCTATCTTACGCCTTGGCCTCCTTCTCAAGCTGCTTTTCTGATTCCAACTCTTCCTCTCAAGTTTAGATGGAGGATGTCCCAAACCAGTGGCGTGTTTCTCTCATTGGCTACAGCAAGTCCATGGCTGAGAAGCATCCTCCTCCGCAGAGGGCGCCTCAGTCAGTGTTTCCGCCTGAACTGCCCTTGAGCCCCAGGCTCACGCAGCCCCTGCTGATGCTAGGCCTCTTGGACATCCCATGTCATCGCAAACTCATCAAAAATAGAACTTTGCCTTTTCCCCCTCCAGCCACAGAGGATAATTACACCCTCAAACCTGCCAAACCCACTGGCAGTTCTGGGCCATGGCACTTCGGTTCCCTCGGCCCGGAAGTTTCTTCTCCCTGACCTTCGCTCTCAGCCTCCTCCTGATCGTCAGGGCTCAGATCCCGTCGCCCCTTCTGAGAGGACGTCTGGTCATGCAGCCTACAGTGGCTGCCTGTTCTCTCTCACTCACCCTGTCTTCATTCTCTGCGCACTGCTCCCTCCAGGTGACTACATCCTCCCTCTGACCAGAAGGAGGTGGAGAGCTGGAAGGGAAAGGTTTGGGGCTCAGCAGGTCAGACCAAGTGGAGAGAGCAGGGGAGGGGCAGCGTGGGAACAGGAGGATTAAGTCAAGGTCTGAGCTCCCAACAGTGGGACCTGCAGCCAGGGTTGCCCTTAGGGTTCACAGGGTCAGCAAATACTTTTTTGTAACGTCTTTTTCTATAACAAATTAACAATTTGAGCCACATAAAATCAGCCTCTTATATGATCCTGTGACAAAGATGCTACGCTGGCCAGTAGGATTCATTTACTTGCTGGGCCACCATTCTGGAACCACGGCCTGAGCTCTGGGCCCCCGAATGACTCCACAAATATGAATTCTAGCTCCTTGGGGCATTTGGTTAACCGTTTGTATGGAGGAGAGGGTCAGAGAGCACTTTGTATGGAGGAGAGGGTCAGAGAGCTGGGACATGGTCTGGGCTTGGGACACCTTACCTGCTGCCCCTGCCCATCCTGGGAGGACTCTTTCTGGCCACTCCTGGTGAGACTTGGGGGGAAATTTGCATGAAAGGCACTTCAAAGCCTGGTGTTCCCATGAAGGGGTTCAGCCTGCTTGGGTCCGAGGGCTGTCTGGCTCACAACCTGCCTCCACCACAGACTCCTGGAATGCTGGTGGTCAGACACCACCCAGTAGGACAGAGGGACGGGCACTGAATAACCTCAGAAAGGACCCCTAGATTCTTACACTGGAGGGTTCCTCGGTGAGATGGCTGGTGCCTCACCCAGGATCCCAGAGTGAAGCCACTGCTCACGGAAGCCCTGCCCACACACTCCGAGTCTCTCATTCAGATCCTTGCTTTCTCTCTTGAATGGGGTCAGGGAACATCTGAGGAGACCCTCCCGCATGAATGACAGCAAATAAAACAAACTTAAAAAAGACCCCAAAGGAAAATACAGAGGAAAAGACCTAAGTCAGAATATGGGGAAAGAAACGCTCCGAAACCCGTAGAAACGGGCTATTGCACTCAGGAAACAAGCACGGGTGCAACGAAGCGAAAAGGAACAACCAAAGAATCAGAAAGAGGCCTTGGGGGTTACAAATGCAGTGTCTGAAATAAAACATTCAGTAGAAGGTTTGAAAGATAAAGTCAGTGAAATCAACCAGGGAACAGAACCAAAAGAGACGAGAGATGGAAAATAAGAGAGGAATGATAAGGCACTTAGAGGATCAATTCAAGAAGACCAGTTTTTGACGAATAGGAGATGTAGAAAGCAAAGAGAAATGAGAGAAGAAATTGTCCAAGAAACCCTAAGCCAAGTTGTGTTAGACTGGGAGGACCTGAGACTCCAGGTGAAAGCACCTCAAATGCCCAACCGAATCAATGAAAGACAATCCAAGCCAAGGCACCTCATTGAGAAAAGTTCAGAACATCCGCGATAAAAGGGAAAACCACTCCTTACGCAGAATGAGAATGCCAGTGGCAGTGCTGGGTGGAAGAAGACAAGAAGGTTCAGGCTTCCAAATTCTGCAGGAAGCAATTATTAATCAAATTCTCTGAGCTCAGCCAAGTTAGCAGTTATAGGTGAGGGTAGCATAGAGATGTTTTCAGACTCAGAAAGTGTCCCTTTGTAAATTCTTACTTGTGGAAGCTCTGTAAGCTCTGTTGCTGCCTAGTGAGGAAGTGGCCAAGAAAGAAAACACAGAACAAAAAGCAAGGCTCCACCTCAGGGAGGCTGAGAGGCGGGTCCTGGTGGGGGGATGGACAGGAGACCTAGGCAGCCAGCGTTTGAGATGAGAGAAGAAGGTGAGATGGTGTCTGGGGCGGGGCTGCTGTATCATCTGGTATAATAAAAAGCACTCGGTTAAACACAGAGAAATATTTGAGAGCAGTCTGGGATTTCAGAGCAGTCTGGGATTTCAGAGACCTACTTAGAAAGTTAGGAAATATACTTAGAATTGGTGGAAATATCACCCTGTTTACACTGCTTACTGCTTTAACCACAAATTGTGATGTATTTTGGGCGGATGAGGGGAGGGAAAGTATGGGTGTGTCCCTGTTTGGGAAATATAAGTGCTACATACTCATGTACTAAAAAAGAAAGGCAGTAGTTAATGTCTAGAATCCATAAGTCAAGAATTGGCGGCATTATTCAGACAAACGTAAACACATGAAGGAACAGCGAAAATAACTGAAAACGGCGGCCTGAGGGCACGGAGCAGGGTGGGGTCAGTTGGGATGAAGTGGTTTGGAGAATTGCTGTGTTTTATAACAAGGTTGGGCTTATGATGCATGTCTAACATACATATGTTACTTTGATGTAAACAAAGGTGGGGGAAAACACACGCACGACCTTTTTGGAGCTTAAAAATGGGACAGAAATTGGAGATTTGGGGCCCCACACCTGCTCTCTCTTGGAGACACAGGGTGAAGACATGACCATGTCCTGCTCAGTTGCCTCTAGGAAGACCAGATGGAAGTGTGGCCCAGGACGGCCCAGCATCCTCTTATCTTTGCAGAAAGCTTGAGTTTACAAATTGTTCCACATATTTCAACCCATCTGACCTTACCACAGCGTGCTGAGGGTAACTGTTGCCCTTTCTAGTTGCAGACGCTGAGACGGGAGTGGCCACGCTGGCCCACCCCACCCCACCCCACCCCACCCGGCTCAGCTGGCCCTGCTGCACAGTCACAGACGCCCTTCTCTTCCCCAGGAAGTTGCACTGTCACCTAACCTCATTCTGTCCCCTGGACATTTTAGAGGAAAGAGGAAGAGGAGCGGAAGCGAGGAGAAGAGCAGATCCGCCGCCAGGAGGAGCAGAGGGCCAGGGAGCTGTACTGGACGCTGAAGCAGGCCCAACTGCAGAGCCAGGCCAGCGAGAAGGAGGAGCGCGAGTGGGAGGAGCAGTGTGAGTAGAGCTTGGTCCTCAGGGGCCAGATCCGCCTGCCTCCCCCACCCTCCCCTCCCACTTGTTTATTTGCTCAGCCTCAGTCCAGTTACTCACTCAGCCAGAGGTCTTACCCAGGCCAACCCAGTGCCTGTCCTGCTAAGGAGAGAGGGAAAGGGCTGGCCCACAAGGAGCTTGCATGCCCTAGAGTAGTGGTCGGCAAACTCATTAGTCAACAGAGCCAAATATCGACAGTACAACGATTGAAATTTCCTTTGAGAGCCAAATTTTTTAAACTTAAACTATATAGGTAGGTACATTGTTGTTAATTAGGGTACTCCTAAGGCTTAGGAAGAGCCACACTCAAGGGGCCGAAGAGCCACATGTGGCTCGCGAGCCGTAGTTTGCTGACCCACTGCCCTAGGGGGATTTCTTGCTCCGAAACAGAAAACCCTATACTTCCTGAATTACCGATAATTCCCTGGCTCTGTGCTCAGTCCTGGGGACCCAGAGATGAGGGCTCAGGGTGTTATCTCGGAGGCAGACACGCAGGCTAAGGGCTCTGAGGGAGTGTCCTGTGCAGCACTGTAAAGTGAGGCTTGATGGTGGCGTAGGAATAGCTGAGGCAGAGGCCGGAGAGGACGCTGGAGATGGGGTGGCCAGCATGTGTGACAGCCTAAAGGCATGTGGTGTGCTGAGGCAGTGGGAGCTGTCTGGGGCGGGTATGCAGCTTGGAGAGTTGGGTGCTGAGAAGGTAGATGGGACAGGGAGGTGGAGTCAGGGCAGAGGCGGTGTTTGATGTGCACCTGGGCTTGCTGCAGTCAGGGCTGGTGGGACCTGCAGACACGGAAATGACTGTCTTGCAGGGGGAAGTTTTTACTCCCGGTTCCTAGAAACAGAGGGATTGCCACTCAGGGCCACACAGGGAAGGCCCAGGGTTGGTCAGGAGGCAGAGGGAGTGAAGGGAAATGTGGGCAAGAGCCTGCGTGTGGATTCCGTGGGAAGGGAGGGGAAAGGCAGGCAGGCTTAGGCCTGGCTGGTTTGAATAGTTTCCGCAGGCTTTGGGATAAGGAGCTGTCTCCAGTGGCTGATACCTGGCCCTGGGGGTAATATTAGGGCAATTGGATCGTGACCCAGAGTGTAAGAACTAGCTACAGGAAGTGGTGGGGGTTGGTTTGCATGTGGAAGGCACACCTGTAAGCCAGTCCTTTATAATCCTTAGGAACTGGCTGGCCCTGGGAAGGGTGGTCCCAGATGTCAAACATAGAAATACAGAGAATAGAAAGGCATGTTATACAGGTGCGCAGTGGGAAGCTTCTAAAGGTGAGTGTCGTGACTGAGGCTGGGCGTGGGAATGAGAGGGGAGGTGGCTGCAGTGGTGCACTTCAGAGACCACTGAACCAAGGCCTCAGCAGGGGGAGCGGAGATGGGAGGTGACGTCTGCTCCCAGGCCTCTGGTCCTCAGCCTTTGTTAACCATACGTCAGATTCATCACACAGACTTTTTAAAAAATCCCTTTAAAGTGTACAATTCAGTGGGTCACAGTCTACTTACACAGTTGTGCCACCATCACTGTTATCTAATTCCAGAGCATTCTCATTGCCACAAAAAGAAGCTCTGTACCCTCTGGTTACTCCTTCTGCCACACCCCGGGAAACCACACATCTACCACGAATCTAATTTCTGTCCCTCTGGGTTTGTCTATTTTGGATATCCTATGTAATAAAAGCCTAATATGCTAAGTGTCTGGTCGTCCAGTCATCCATTCAACCAATTAAAGCGTAATATGCTAATGATATGCTAAGGCTGCTTAACTGCTCGCTATCACGTGCACTAACCACCATGGGGTAGACAGTTGACCAGTCACTATAATGTGCACTGACCACCAGGGGATAGATGCTCCGACTGGTATGTTAGCTTGCTGCTGAGACTGAGCAAGATGGGCCGGACACACCCTTGAGCCCTCCCGTGGTCCCTCCCCAGCTGGCCAACCTCCCGCATCCCTTCCCGGCCCCAATCGTGCACCAGTGGGTGTCCCTCGGCCTGGCCTGTGCCCTCTCAAAATCTGGGACCCTTTGGGGGATGTCAGAGAGCCAGTTTCAACCCGATCCTGCAGGCCAGGCCGAGGAACACCACTGGTGCACAAATTCGTGCACCGGGCCTCTAGTTTCATATAAATAGAATCATATATTATGTGGTCTTTTGTGTCTGATTTCTTTCATTTAGCAAATGTTCAGGGTCCACCATGTTATGGCATTTATCAGCACTTCCTTTTTATGGCTAAATAAAATTCTAATGCATGCATATACCACATTTTTGTTTATCCAGCTTTGGGTTGTTTCCATTTTTTGGCCTCATGGATAATGCTGCTCTGCACATTTGTGTTTTTTGTGTGTGAACAAATGTTTTCAGTTCCCTTGGGTATATACCTGGGGGTGGAATTTCTGGGTCATATGGTAACTCTGCTTCACAGTTTGAGGAACTGCCAGACAGTTTTCCAAAGCGATTGCACCATTTTATATTTCCACAAGCAGCATATGAGGGTTCTAATTTCTTCTCATTCTTGCCAACACTTGTTGTTTTTGTCTTTTTGATAGTAGACATCCTAATAAACAGTAAGATGCTCCGTCATTGTGGTTTTGATTTGCATTTCCCTGGTGATTAAAGATGTTGAGCACCTTTTCATGGGCCCATTGGCCAGCTGTGTTTTTTTTTTTTTTTTTGAGAAAATATCTAGTTAGGTTCTTTGCCCATTTTTAAATCAAACTATTTGTTTCTTGCTATTGAGTTGTATGAGTTTTTTATATATTTTGGATATTGACCCCTTATTGGATGTATGGTTTTCAAATATTTTCTCCCATGTTATAGGTTGCCTCTTTCATTTTATTGTTTCCTTTTGCAGTAATGTTTTAGCTTGATGTAGTTTGTGTGTGTGTGTGAGTGTGTGTGTGTGTGTGTAGTTTTTTTTTATTTAATAAAGTTTTATTTTTCAAAATGTACAGTTGTGGGACCTGTTGTTCCTGCATCTTCACCAGCAGCGGGGCCTCCCCACCCTGGCGTTTCTGGTGTAAATGACTGAGCTCTGAGCTTGGAACCGAGTTCACTGAGTCCTGAACTAGGAGCTCCTGCAGGGCTGCCCTGGCCAAGGAGCTGCGTTCTCCGTCACAGCGACAGTGGCCGGGGCCCACGCTGGGAGTTTGGAGCTTCCTTACAGAGTCTGTCCCGTGTTGCTCTGTCAGACAAACTGGGATATTAATTGTCCCGGACTTTGCCTTTGGACCACGTCTTCCTCTTGGCCTCGCCCCAGCGTCGCTCACTGGGCCTTTGTGTCTTGGTTGACTTTCCCACATCTTTCTTCTTGTCCTTGGGCAAAGAGCAGCTGCTAAGATGCTGGACCAAAAAAAAAAAAAAAAAACAACACAAAGGTACTACCTGTTTATTTTTGCTGTTGGTGTCATTACCCCTAAAAAAACATTGCTAAGGTCAATGTCAAGGAACTTTCCCCCTATGTTTTCTTCTAGGAGTTTTATAGTTTCTGGTCTTACATCTAAGTCTTCAATCCAATTTTGTTCTTTTGCATGTGGATATACAGTTTTCCCAACACTATTTATTGAAGAAATGATCCTTTCTCCATTGTGTATATGGTGACTTTGTTGACAGTATATGCATGAGTTTATTTCTGGACTCTCTGTTCTGTTTCGTTGGTCGACATGTGTGTTTTTATGCCAGTATCATACTGTTTTGTTTATTATAGCTTTATAATCTTATTTCATAATAATTAGCAAATTAATATTACTACTAATAATTATCAGGTGAGATGCCTCTAGCTTTGTTCTTCTTGCTTAAGATTGCTTTAGTACTCAGAATCTTTTGTGGGTCCATAGCGATTTAATGATTGTTTTTTCTATTTCTGGGGAAAATGCCATTGGAATTTTGACAGGGATTGCATTGAATCTCCAGATCACTTTGAATAGTATGGATATTTTAACAAGATTAATTCTTTCATTCTGTGAACACAGGATATCTTTCCATTTATTTGTGCCTTCTTCAGTTTTTGTCATCAGTGTCTTATAGTTTTTAATGTACAGGCCTTTCACATCCTTAGTTAAATTTATTTCTAAGTATATAATTCTTTGTGATGCTATTGTAAATGGGATTGTTTTCTTAATTTCTTTTTTGAGTAGTTTGTTGTTAGTGAATAGAAAGACAACTTATTTTTTTGTATTTAATTTTGTTGATTTTGTATCCTACAACTGTACTAAATTTGTTTATTCTAACAATTTTTTGGTGAAATCTTTAGGGTTTTCTATATTCAAGATAATGCCATCTGCAAATAGAGATAATTTTACTTCTTTCTTTCTGTTTTGGATTTATCTCATTTCCTTTCCTTTCCTAATTGTTCTGTCCAGTATTATGTTGAATAAAAGTGGTGAGAGTGGGCATTCTTGTCTTGTTCCTGATCTTAGAGGAAAAGCTTTTATTCTTTCACCACTGAGTATCATGTTAGTGGTGGACTTGCCATATATGGCTTTGTTATGTTGAAGGACGTTTTTTTTTCTTTACCTAATTTGTTGATAACTTTTTTCATGAAAGGATGTTGAATTTTGCTAAATGCTTTTTCTGCATCTGTTGAGATGATAATATGATTTATATTCTTCCTTTTGTTAATGTGGTGTATCACATGGGTTAATTATGTTGTGTCATCCTTTCATCCCAGGAATTAATCCTGCTTGCTCATGTTATATAATTATTTTAATGTACAGTTGGCTTTGATTTGCTAATATTGTGTTGAGGATTTTTTTCATCTATGTTTACCAAAGATATCGACTTGTAATTTTTTTTCTTCTTTGTCTCTATTTGGCTTTGATATGAGAATAATACTGGCCTCCTAAAATGAATTTGGAAGAGTTTGAGAAGGACATTTAAATGTGCAGTAGAAATTATCAGTAAAGCAATATGGTCCTGACTTTTCTTTCTTGGGAGATTTTTGATTACCGATTCAACTTTCTTAGTAGTAATTA